CAGTAGAAAAATATCAATTCAACAGCGGCCTTTTAAAGCATTCTCACTTCAATTAATTAATTAATTCCTAATTGAGTTTAAATTAAATATTGTCATGTTTTTAGTGCATGAATCTGAATTGAACAACCTGATAATGCTCACTCTGGTTATTGTTATCTGGTTGCTCACTACGTGCTCTTGCGCGCCGAATCCAATCAATTAAAAATGAAAACTGTTGCCAGCGCGAGAAAAGAAATATCATCGGTTTTATTGATACATACATAGGTACGTATTAGCGTTTTATATAATATAGATAGATTTGGACTTGAGTGAATGAATAAAAAGTATTTTAATAACGATCGAAAAGTTGAAACAAGATATATAAATATATAGAGGGAGAGTGTGAACTTATAGTAGGAATTGAAGAAAACAAAACGCGCGTGTTTTCAGACAACTATAAAAGTATAAATTTGGTGACGTGGACCACACGTGCTATAACGTAATATTCTTTATTGAATTTATCTGACATATCGAATTCGCGATCGCAACGCTTGATTACGCCATCTAGCGGGAGCCTGAAAATATCGGGCATTAGTTCCATCATAACCTTTGGCAATGACGGACGCCATTTTCTTAGCAGCAAATAAAAAGCAAAATATCGCTAAGGAAAGGTAAAAGAACCTGAAAAAACTAACCAGAACATCTCAAACATTGATGCAGAATACGCCAAGCAGTTGAAGAACAATTTTTCAATAATTTTTACCTTTCTATTACCAACAACATAACTTCCAATTTCATGATCACTAACAGATATGTGTATTACGGCAAAATAATTTTTTCTGTCTTCAATTCATTACAAATTAAAGCGAAGTCAACGCTGCTTTCGTCATTCCTATGAATAAATGTGAATTCAGAGCGTACACAGAACTGTGTAATAGTTATAGAATATTCTTCTTCTTTATAGAATATTATATCTTTCTATATCTATATACTAATTCGGAAAACAGCAATAAAGAATCATCCGTACTACTTGAAATCGTTTCATCTGTGCTGATTATTAATAAATTTTTATCGTTCAATAAGTATTTTTTTGTTTTGAAAGAATAATTTCAATTAGAATTCAGCTATTCTGTTTTTAAGTTACATATTCAAAATAAATATTCATAATAAAATTTTCAAACGAAGAACATTTCATTTGGAATTCTGCGGATTTATAAAATAGGTGAGTGTTATGATTTTTATAATAAAAAATTTGCTTGTAAATAATTCTTTTTCTTATTTGATGATCGTTCTCTACAGAATGGCTTTTTACGTCTGATTAAGAACTATAAGAATTAATAAAAGAAACAATATGAAAGTTTTATTTCAATATAAAGAATTTTTAAAATCGTTTTTTATAATAAGAATTCTTAATTTTACGCTTCTTAGTTTATAGTTTTTGGATAAAAATTGGTTTCAAAATACTTTTTTAAAAAATTTAAGTGGTATAACATTATGTGTTTATACTTCTTGGATATTTTAATGTTTGAAGTAATATGATTCAGAAAAATATGGAATAAAAATTCGGTACTTACGTATTAACGCCACCGCAGCTACAGATTTGGCGGTTTTTAAGTGCCGCCAATCTACACTTCAAATTTTTACGACAAATCATAAATAAAACACTTTATTGAAAATCAAAGTAGTCAATCAGATTTCGGTGAAGAATGGGCCGATATAGAGTTTAGCATAGATTCAAAATAAACTCTATTTTCTTTCACCTGACGCTGTCGCCATATGAACTCTAATAAGTGAGATTCTAAATGAAATAACATTTTCAAAACGTATGTTTACTGAAAAAAAGTTTCATGTCATGGGAATTGGTACATTTTTGTTTTTTCGGTAAAATATTTCGCTCCTGAAAAAGTAAAATTGCATCTTGTTTTGTTTTTGGCAAATCCCAAAGACCCATTTTCGTAGCACTGGAAAATGGCGTCCAAAAATAAGTGCTTTTTGTTTGTTTTTTTGTTTCGTAAGCATTCTTTATTTTACGTTTTGCAGTTTCCAAATAATGATTTTTATTGAAACTTAAAATTTTTTGATATCAATTGTTCTCCATCAATATCAATGATATCAATTGTTTCCATTTTAATTTTTGAAGTAATGTGATTCTTAAAACTATGAAATGTAAAGTTTAAATAGGTCTTTCATGTTATATCATTAAATTTAGTAAAACTATTTCTTAGCCATTTGGTTTTAACTCTTATAAGAATATACATATTATTTTCTGTTTATTTACAAATATTTTTCCGGTGTGTTTTGGATGTTCCTTCTCTAAAAGAAAAGAGATACCATTTTGCTTACGTTTGCATAAGAAAGAATATCAAACATTTTTCTTTTTTTAATTTAATAAGCCCAATAAAGTAGGAACGTTAAAACGCTACATTAAAGACATCTCCAGAGTAACTGAATGACTGTTCATGTAGAAATCGCAGGCATTCGTCTCATATAACAACGCCCCCTATAGTTCGTTGCGATCGCGAATATAAAATAATGAAATATTTAAATGTGTGCAATAAACTATTTTTTTAAATAGAGCTATAAGTTAGAAATTATCACTGATCTTATCTTTAGAATATGTAACAAAATGAATCGCTTATAGTAAAATATAAAACAATGACTAACGTTTAACCAATCAGTAAATTCTATTTCGTTTTTCGCTCATCCCAACTTAATTAATAAATTTATATTTGAAAAAACTGTATTAACTTCAAGTTTTATCCACTACAAGTTTTAAATAAATGTATTTGAACTTTGAGTGGATGAATTAAAAGTATTTTATTTAACGATTGAAAATTTGAACAAGATATAGGGAGAGTGTGAACTAATAGTAGGATTTGAAAAACGGAATAAGTACAAACTCTGTTGAGAACTTGGTTTTTTTCACCCGAATTTTTTAAAAAATTGAAATTTTGTCAACAGATGGCGCTACTGACTATAAAAAATATAAAATCAATGCTTAACTGTAACCACCATTTTGGAGCAACAATTCGGAACAGTATGAGTACAAAAACTACCAGGCCCTCATGCAAATATGTTGGTTGAAATGGTTTTATGAGCACCAGAAAATATAGCTTTATAGTTTGCTTCAATTAGCAACACCATCTGTTGCCTAAATTTTCAACTTATATTTAAACTGTGCAAATAAATAATTTGGTTTCGCAAACAGAACACTAGGAACCGTCAATGCCTAACTCCTTCCGCTTTTCCTTAATCAATTTTTCAAATCGTTGGTTATTTTTGGGATACCCTATATCAATTATCAACTCTGTTGATATTAAATTAGTGCAAATCAGAAATAGAAGAATTCTATCTACCTTAAACCAAATCGCTATATCTACTTTGTCATCAGAAACTTCCAGTAGTGATTAAACTAAAAAAAGACAGCTGATTCAGACCAATTAATAAATTATTCTAACTGAATAAACAATGCGCTTTTGTTTAATCAGCCTCTCTAAGCCACACTAGTGTTCTAAAATTACATATATTGCAATATTATCAAACAGAGATTGTGTAATATCAAGATATCGAGAATCACAAAGGAAAGTTTTATCAGGAATTCCTTGAAATATTTTAATGAAATACAGTGATGAGATGCAATTTTATACCTCATTTGGGAGATTTTTTATTTGATCATTAAAAGCGTTATACTTAGTAAAATCATTGCTGTAAGTCAAACTAGCTGGAATAATTGAGGGCTTAGATATTGAGATTTATATGAATATATTTTTTTAACTATACTTGGGCATACAAAGTGAATTTTAAATAGATAAAACTATAAACCTTACAAACTGTCTAGTATTCAAAGGCGCCCCATGCCTGACTGAGAAATCATCTCGTGATTAGCAGACATGACTAATCTTCGAGTTAGAATACTGTCTACTAATCAGGAAAGGAGCCCCATTCCCGACTGAGAAATCATCTCGAGATTAGCAGACATGATTTATCCTCGAGTTAGAGTACTGCCTACTAATCATACGAGGAACCCATACCTGACAGAGAAATCATCTCTTGATTGCTGAAAAAGGACTTATCCTCGAGTTAGATTACTGCCTAGTAATCATGAGAGGTGCCACATACCTGTCTGAGAAATCATTTCCGATTGCTAGAAAGGACTTATCCTCGAGTTAGAATACTGTCTACTAATCATGAGAAGAGCCCCATACCTGACTGAGAAATCCTCTCATGATTGCCAGACAGAACTTATCCATGAGTAAGAATACTGTCTATTAATCATGAGAGGGGCCCCATACCTGACTGAGAAATCATCTCAAGATTGCCAGACAGGACTTATCCTCGAGTTAGAATACTGTCCAGTAATCACGAGAGGAGCTCCATACCTGACTGAGATATCATCTCATGATGGCCAAACGGGACTTATCCTCGATTTAAGATGAATGAATAAAATATGTATTTGAATTTTATATCAATTAAGAAGTTCTAAAAATCAAAGAAGTGAAATTAGGTCAGGCTGTCTTGAGAAGAATCTCAGTCAAACATAACTATAGGAGAGCGAACTGAAATGAGAAGACATCATGTAGCGATTTTAGTTATGTGAGGCTAATTATAGCAGCGTATTTCAAATATAATACGAGATATACACAATACAGTAAGAGTCTTATGTAGAACAATTTTATTTTTCACTTATTGCACTCAATAATATTTTTCAGATATACATGTTTAAAAATTATTACGAAGTATCTTAACATGGAATTTATTAGTTCAGGTATAAGAGGAATTTTATTTTATTTTGTTTTGAACTGCACAAGTCCCTTCCTTATTTTCCTGTATTCTTTAAATGCTAATTGGCTGAGTTGATTTTGTAGCTAGTAGAAGCAGAGTTTTCTGAAAAGAAAATACAAAAATTATGCAAATATTTTGAAGCAAAATTATTCATTTTTGTGATTTGCAATTGAACATGACTATGAAATTTTTTTATAAGGTTAAAGCATTTTTTTATAGATTTTATTTATTTATAATTTTTTGATATCTCCACAGTTCTTCGGAAACAGAAAGAATAGAGATTTTTTTATTAATTAGAAGACAGAAATAGAGTTCAATAGTTTGATAATTTCTTTTCTTTTTTTTTTCATTGCACTGAAGAAATAAATAATAAATAAATAAATAAAATCTCCCCAAAAAGTTAAGAGTTTTACTCTGGCAGCTGCGGTTGGTTGTGCAGAACCATAGAAATCCATAAATCTGTAGGCTCAATGGTTTCTCCCCTTACAAGAACAATATTTTCCGATTACGAATGAATTGCGAAGGAATTCCGTCATCATACTTGTTTTTTTATGGTTATAAAACACGTTTTAACAATAAAAAGTATGAACTAAAAGAAATCTGTTGTCTCAACAGACTTTTTACCGTCATATGGGAACAAGTGTTTCTGTGAAAGTTGCGAGGGGAATATTTACTGGAGGCAGATGTGAATATTTTATGTCTGCAGAATTTGCATCGACTTGTCACAGCTGGGATTCGAACCTGGTTCTTTTCATTCGTAAGCACGTGCTCTCTCTACTGCGATATAGTGCGAATTTCGCTTCTTTATTGAATCAATTCGACAATAAAGTCAAAATGCAGTTTTATTTGCACAAAATTTAAAGTCATGTAGCAAAAATCTTAAGAGCAAGTATAGAAAATAATCGCAAAATGATAGGAGGAAAAGTAAAGTAATATTACATAACGCAAAATTACATAGCTAAAATCAGAATTTCAGCTCATCCTTTTTATTCGTTTGTGATAAGGAAGAAAAACGGAGAAAAACCGCTTTGTAAACAAAGTGTGTGTAGAGGGGGGAAATGATATTTAGGATATCTTTAATAAAAACTTTAAAATATGAAGGTTATGTGGGGTAAATCATAATAACTACATAGGAATTTTTAATTAATATGGGGGAAATTTATAAATACGAAAATTTAGCTTTAACCCTCAATAAAATTGCTCATTAATGTCCAATTTCGACGAGTATGCTCGCAAATTTATCTGCTTACTTTTCCTTTTGAGAAATCAGAATACACTCTTCAATTCAGAAGAACTAATTACCCTTACTATCGATACATAGACAGGAAAACAAAGAAAGTTTTCCGAAGGTAATGGAGCTGTATAACCCATTTGTGAACTTTTGATTATATTTTATTGTTTGTCTAAAATAAGAACTCCCCTAGCCATTCGTCTGCATCCGTGGCGGTGACTATGGTAACGAGGTATAACTATTTAAAGTAGGGGTGTAGGGTCACTGCTTAGGACAGGTTTTGGTTCGGGTCAGCGAGAGAAAGGGAAACTTTTTCTTCGATCTATTGTGTTAGCCCTAGAGTGAAGAGAAGCTACTCTCCCTGAAATGCGCTATTCTTGTTTGCATAGCAACAGACGGCCTCAGACTTTGCGGCGAGGAGAGTTCTTACAGTAGGCAAATTATATATGACCATAGTGTTGCTGGGCAACTGAAAAAGAAACACAAGTGCTTCACTTCTCCTGTTGATACTATCACAGCTAAAATAAAATTTCAGAAAACTAACAACTTTTGCAGTAAGAAGCTTGGCATGTAAAAATGCCAACTGTGCAAAATTCCCAATTTTGAATTTTTGTCACTTATGTAGTGTGGATGATGTAAAATATCCGTAAGGTTTAACCTCCTTTTACATATCTGGTTTAGAGGAATATGGCGTCTTACGAAACGTATAGCAAAATTCTTTCCCCTATTAGATGCTAACGAAATTCAACATTCGTATCCTTTACAAAATTTCAATTAATTTTAACTTAAAAAAAATATGATGCAGATTACTTTCCATGCATTTTACGTATTGTAACCATTGCCTTTAATACAAATTCTGAAGATCCTTTAAAAAATTGAAATCAAACACATAAACACAAAAGGGATCACAAATTAACATTTAACGAGAAAAAAATGTTTCTAAAAAACTAACAAAAAGTATTGTAATAGGCGGAATTAATAATATACAAACCGGTTTGATTACCGAATAAACTTAAAATGTTTCTAACAATCGTCTTTTTAGACCTCTCAATTTATCTAAATCATCTAACCGGTTTTGATACTTTTAATCTGGTCTTTATTAATGATTTTTAAGGCTTTGATTTTTTCCTTAACTTAAATATTCGCCTGGTGGCTGAGTGGTAGCGCTTCGCGCTGGCCTGGGTTCGATTCTCGGACTGGGCAAGGTTGACTCAGCCTTTCATCCATTCAGTGGGTTGATAAAATGAGTACCAAGCATGCTTGGGGTCTAAACACTGGGGGTTCCACGTTCGGATGATCGCCTAACTAGAACATCTACTCCTGCAGCCCAAGCTCAAGAATACTGAGATGGGCGCAATAGGCCTTGGCCCCTTATGGGCTGCTGCACCACTGAGTTTAGTTCTTGAATATTCATTTGCATAATCGAATGAGCATATTATTTTAATTCCATCTTTGACAAGAAATCTTAAAATATATGTTCACCCCATTCACGCTTGCATAGCGTTTGTTAAAAGTTGTGATATTAAAATAAGACTTTAAAAAAATGAAAGAGGTATAGTGAGAATTTTAATCTGATAATTTCTAATGTGGCAATTGATGTAATTATAAAAACATTGCAAATGTTAGTTTAGTCTCTGTTTTCCCGAAATAAGTTTGAAAACTGATGAAGTTTAACTGAAACAGTTAACTGAAATCTCCATTTTTTTAAATAAATAAAAAAGAGAATACAAGAGTTTTGGCAGTCAATAAGTTCAGGGTCGGCACTGCGGGACAACCAATTATATGATTATTCACTTACCGTTCGCATAATAGTCGTATACTTTCGCTGTGCCAGGTTGGGCTTTTCTCACTTTAACAACTTGATTAACTTCGAAAGAGAAGTTTTCCACTGCATTGGATATCTATATTAAAACATTTAATGGTAGTTAACTGACTTAATAATATAGAAATTAAAGTAAAGAAGATTTCTTATAAGAAAGATATTCGATGTGTCACTCGCAAATCAAGCTGAATTTTTAATGGTTTGTTTTATTTATTTTGAAACAACAAATGAAAAAAAATATTTTGTTAGTTTGGCATTATGTGCGCATTATAAAATAATGACACCTATAATTGGATTAAGAAAATTGCAAAAAATTTCAGACCTTTCGCCAAAATGTAGGAAAAGTCACTTTTAAGATAATAATTTAGTAATTTCAAACGATTTATTGTTTAAGTGCTAAGCAAGCTCATAAATTGTTATTATATAAAAAAAATGCTTGTAAATTTTAGAATTAAGTAGGAACTTCAGAATTCACTGCTCAGAACAATAGAATTTTAATTTCTGATTTAAATCTTTTAAATTTGGACATTTTAAGCGCAAACTGAAATTTCAGATTAAGTTTAAAAGTATTTAAGTAACTTTTCATAGCTAGCATGTCATGGTTTACGGAATGAATCAAACCTGGCTACATATTCAGAGTAAAAATGGTGGTTTCTGATAATTTATAGTTAAATGATTTACTAGTAATAGAAAAAAAATCATTTTATATTTCACAATACAAAAGTCTTATCTTTCAAAAAATATTCAGCCTGATTGGTGCACTTCGGCTACCTTCGCTGCCAGTTTTTCGTGTTTTACTAAATATTTTTATCAATAAAGATATTTTATTTAAAGCTCTTTCATCGTCTAACATTATTTTTATTAGCACTATGAAGATATATCGAAGCTTACAAATGCTTTAACTTCACAGTGATATATATATACACCGAAGAGCCATTACATTATGACCACCCACCATCTATAACATTGGGATCGCCCAGGTTTTCATGGTTTCTCGCCCAGGAACAATGTTTTCATGGGGCACATTGGGACCCATTATCCTTATAGAACAATCCCTGACGTCTGTAAGCTACTTGAACATAGTTGCAGACCAAGTTCACCCATTCATGGCAACAGTTTTTCCTGTGGGGGATAGTGTTTACCAACAGGATAAATGCACCATGTCATAAGGGTCGAATCGTCGAGGAACATTCCAGTGACTTTCAAGTCATGTCTTGGCCCCCAAATTTCCCTGACCTTAATCCAATCGAGCATTTGTGGTCCTACTTGGAAAACCAAATTCGTGCTGCCACGCTACCCCATCGCAATGTGAGGGAATAGCAGGACCAGTTGATGAGCGCTTGGTACCAGATACCTCAGACTACCTATCACCACCTTGTGGAATCAATGACACGGCGGGTGCTAGCAGTTTTGAGGGCTAAAGTTGGTCTTACATGTTATTGGCAGGGTGGTCATAATGTAACGACTCTCCGGTATATATATATATATATATATATATATTTGTAGTTTAAAGAGAGTTAAATAATTTAATAATTTGTGGTTTCCAAATATGTAAATTTCTGTATATTTACTTTCAAATACTTTTAAGCATTTAATAATTTTAATCCGTAATTACTTTCCCATTTAAAAAATTTAATTCCTAAGTTTCATTAACTTCAAATTATTTTTCAGCGTTTAATGCTATTATTCTAAGCGTTATTTCGTTTGTCATGAAAATATTTAAAGATTTTTGTTAAGGAACGAACTTTTTATTGCACTAATGCAAACAAAACAAATTTAACTTTCTTACTTCAGAAAAGTAGACAATCACTGTGTTGTCTTCGACATCTATCCTTAATATTTTGTTGTTCTTGTCATTTTTGAGCTGAAATGATATTGGGAGTTATCAATAAGTGTCTTTAAAATAAATATTTGAAAGCCTATTTTAAATTAAAACATATTTATATTTTAAGAGAAAGAGCAAACAGAGAGCAGAAAATGGTGTACACAAGTTTATTTATTCAATGTATTGACATACATAAGTAATTTAATAAATAATTTAAATCATTCTTCATGAACTTAGATGTGATCCAATAAATATTCAAAATAGTGTTTAGCAAGATATTAATCGTATCAAGACTTGAAGCTAAGTAAAAAACCATTGTTCTTTAAACTTAGATGAGATCCGATAAATAAATATAATAATACTATATGCGATGATATTTGTAACAAGATTTCGAACATAATGAAAAACTATTCTTCTTTGATTTTAAATGAGATCCATTGCTTACTCAAAATAGTACTCGATAAAATGCTAATCGTATCGAGACTTCAAACCAAATGAAAAATCATTCTTCTTTAAACTTAGATGAGATCCAATAAATACATATAATAGTATTCCACAAGATGCTATTCTTAACAAGACTTGAAATATGATGAAAGACATTTTCCTTTGAATTTAGATGAGATCAAATACATACTCACAATACTTTATAAGATTCTAATCGTATCCAGACTTCAAACCAAATGAATTCTTGTTATGATGAGTGATGGATTTGGTAGAGAAATGAGATGATGATTTTGATGATAAAAATGACGATTGGAATGATCAATTGAAAAAAAAGTTTGTTGAGTAAATGAAAAATAAAAGCTATTTTTTGAAAAAAGGGGAAAATAATGAATATAGATTTTGAAACCGGAAAATAAAGGATTCCAACGATGAAATTTTTTCTAATAAAATAATGAAATGGAAAAATAAAAGTTTTGAATGATGTACTGGGAAGACAAAAGGTTGGGACAGTGATATTGAAAACAAAACATTTAGATAAAGTGGGAAAGTTCTTTTGAAAAGAAAACTTTAAATTAATATGCGACTTTAGAAATGTTGAAATCATTATCTGTTAATGACATGATGTAAAGTAAATAATGAAACATTTTCATTCTCTATACTTTAAGATACGTTATAATTTAGACATACATTATTATACTTAATTTTAACAGATTTCTTTAATAATTTAATTGCGATTGCAAAAAAAATATATATATACATTACTTGTTTCTGATAGTCCATGTAAGTCAAGATTGTATTGTATATTTGGCTTTATATTCAAATTTCCAGTTTATCATTGAATTTTAATAAAATACTGGCGTTAACTAAGACTAATAGCATACACTATAAAAGCATAAAATTATACGCATTGAGAAAAATAAAATAAATATTTCACCAATTATCTTACATCTTCAAGGCTTTGTCTGACAGGCGAAAATCCAGTGATCATTCCTATTTGCACTATACTCATTCCAGCCACTTGTCCAGGAGGTAAATAACTGTAAGAAATTATTCAGTTTTTCTAGTTTTATTTATTCAATAACATTTTATTTTAATAAAATGCAAATCAAATTTTTTTGGGTGCAAGAAGAAAACAAACTTTATGTACGTGATAAAAGAAAACGAAATGTTTAATATCTGGGAATTAATTTCATTTTTCATTATACGATCCATTACGCACTAAAACTTTAGTCATATGTAGAAATGACCAAAAAAAAATGTGTTTAAAATTATGTGGAATTTCACGGGACAAAAAGTATTATTTCAATTATCAGTACTTAAAAATTCGTTAATGTAAATTAAATCTTTTCTTCTTGAAATTACGAAAATAACATCCCAAGCCAACTTGAAAATAAAAATGGCTTTAAATAGTTTGCAAACTTTTCATTCATTTACGTAACGGTTCACAAAAAAATTTTGCATTTTAAAATTATGCTTCTTAGTACCACCCCTTTAGTAAAAAATACGAAACTGTGAAGTAAATTTAGCCGAATAAATGATTTTTATGCCATGTTCTAAGATATAATGATAAAATTTCCAAATTTTATCACGTATAAAAAAACCATATATTATTGCTGATTTTACCAGAATCATAATCAAAACTCTTCGGTAAAAAATACCGAACTTTTTGGTGTCCACGTATAGCCGAAAACATGGTAATACTTAACTTATTCTGGCAGTTTAAATCATTCTTTTTTCGCAGTGTATTAGTGTGGTTATGTATTAATAAAAAATTGTCTTAATATTTCCAATCAAACGTTTCCTGCCTAAATAAAAAGAACTAAATTCAACAATAAAAAATAGGATAACTATTCTTAATTTTTATAACAGATTTTTTTTTCTCATTTCAACGCAGGTCATAATTAAGCTTATTTTTATTCATTTTTATGCACCGAAAACAAATTCTAAACTGGATTGAATACATGATGATAGGTGCATGCATAATCTAAAAAACATTGATCAAATGATAAAAAAAAAATTTATTTTCAAAATAATTAGTTGTCTTTCTTTGGTAATACCTGCCTAATGACTATTGAACACAAATTGTTCGATAAACGGAGTTCGATCATTTAGAGTTTCATAGCCGAAAAGAATTCGGAGCTGCCGTTTTATAATAGATTACAAATATCGAATGGATAAAAATTTATACTTAGCGCAAGTTACCTGACTAGTGTGACAATTTTAGCTGTATTGCAGTTAGGATCAGAACAATCCCCACGAACACTGATTGAAAACTTCTTCTTTTCCGGTGCAGTTTTGGTATTAAACAGAATGGCTGTCTGTAAATGAACAACAATGAAAATAACACATAATATGACAAGCTGTTTTTAGAAAGAAAAAACTGAAATTCTACGTTTAACAACATATTATGATCAATATGGGTCTCAATGAAAATAATTATTTTATAAACTCATGAAAATAATTATTCTCATAAAATGCTCGCGAATTCTTCTGTAAATTATAAAACAGTTTTTATTTTAATATCTTAAAAAATGTTTGTAACTTGTTTTTCCCATTGACACGGAAATGGCTCCGAATGTTAACATAAAATCATGATAATGAAATAAAACACTTTTAATATAATTTGAGGGGAGAAGTTCGAGTATTTAATTAAGTGTGTATATTCACAGAAACACACATTGCATGGCCTTCTGCCAAATAACAAAACAAAACCTCCCTATATCAGGAAGCTGGCATTTATGAGGTAAACAGAGGCTGAGTGGTCAAGTGGTTTATGAGGTTCCATAGCCGTGAGGTTTCCTAATGATATGTATATCACCACAAGAAACCTCAGGGCTGTGGGTCGAAGATAAAAATACGAAGAAGAAATGAAAAAAATATATATATATATAATTTTTTAAAGAAAAAAAAATAAGGTAAGCAAAGATTGAGAGGTCAGATGATATTAAAATATTTTTAAAGATATTTAAAATAGAAATTTTTTTTTAAAAAAGTCTGAAAGCAAAATAAGAAAAAGATATAATCACGCCATCAGCTCACTCAATTATATCCACAAAAACAGTATTGTATTAACATAATTTGCTTTGGATATATTATTACAAGATTAAAAAGTCGTGTGAGCTGAAGACGAGATTACATATTTTTCTTATTTTGTTATGCGATTTTTAATTTTCTTTTTAAATTTTAAACATTAATCATTTATTAATAATTTTACTTCTTCTCTATGAAATTTTTTATTTTTTTTCCATGTCCTCGTTAATCTTTCTTTTCTTTTCGTCTTTATGATATAAGACTGTTTGATATAAGAATTTGTGTTGTAGATTACAGTACAATTTCTGTTTATTTTTTTTTTCGTGAAGGGAGGATTTTGATTATATTTTGACAGTCCTTTTTTCAATTGTTTATTTCTGGTCATTTTACCATTTATTGTTTATGCAGTTTTCCAATAATAATTTTGGAAAACATTTATTTTATCATTCAATCTGAGTATTTTCTGGATTGTGAGAAAAATTTACAAAATCCTTTACAATAATATCTGCGGAATGAAAAAAATAAAAATTTAATTTAATTTTTTTTCCTAATTCGTTAACCATTGTTTATTCTTATTCGTTTTCATTCTGTACTAATTACATTATTGATTATTGTAAAAACGTGATGTAAAGGAATCTATATAAACTCAAATTTAATGGAATTCTAAAAATGAACAAGAAATTATTGGCTTCAAAATTTGGACAGAGAATATAATAATTATTAAGAAGCCGGTCGGGATAGCCTGATTGGCAGGCCCTGGATTCACGTTCATGAGAATGGGAATTCGAATCCAGCAGGCCAGTGTAGTAAAAGATGACTGTTGCACTTTAAATCTGTCAGGTCACAAAGTCCTCCATGTTCCCATAACAAATCATTTCTCTTTGGGTACTGAATAGGAGATTGATCGTTCTTTGGTTCAGGTCAAAGTTACGATCTGTGGATGAATGAATAGATATGTGAATGGGTCCACCCTATAAAATGTGTGTGACGTATGGGTGTTGCAGAAATCAAATTCGTTACCATAGATGGCGCCACGGGAAAACAAATACATTCGCACCCCCCTTGCCATTATGGCCGATGACAACAACAACATTAAGCGAATAAGAACATGCAAGCAAGAGCTTAAACATTGATATTATTAAGTGGTCCAAGAAAGAAAAACGCTGAGAGTATTAAAAATCGATTTTTTTTTAACGCTTTTTAAGGCAATTTTAGCAAATTGGAGAACATTAAAAGAATAACTAGGAAATGCTTGAGTGACAACAACCTTAATTGTAGCCGTTCGCTGAAAATACTAGAAGTCTGATTATTATAATATTTTTAAAGCGGTAAACACCAGAAATTGGATTTTTTTAAAGCTTTTTTTTAACAATTTCGTCTTTTGGATTTAGCTTTCTTACCCTTTTTACGTTACACTTTTAGACCGATATTATAGTTTGTTTTTCTTTACCTGAATGAGTCCACATCCTGTACCTTTCGCCTTTATCTTTATGCTCTTTGATATATCCGTGACTTTGAAGCGCTGAACTAAGAGTTTGTTTTGATCGTTGAGAGTTACGGATTTTGTGAGACCACCAGTGGTTTTAACCATAAGGTTAAGTGGATCTTCGTAGACAACGCTTGCATATTTGGCCAAAGCACTTAAACCAACACATGTGTCCTAGAAATGCATAAGGCAAATAAAGCAAATGATAAAAAATAAAATAGTACAATGATAAAGATTAAAATAGTAGTAAAAGCTCATTGCTCTATTTTCTACTTTCGTAGTTATTATGAAAACTTAATGGAACAGTATGTCAAGTGCAGTTTTTAATCGGATTTGCGAACTTCCGGAGGTGATATGGTCAGATTAAATCTATAACTTTAATTTTACTACATTAATTTACTACATTGGTTAAATTAATAACTAATCAAATGAAAATCATTGTTCTACTTTCTGAGTTAATGCAAAAACTAAATGGAAGAGTATGTCAAGTACAGTTTTTACTCAAATTCAAGAACTTATTTACGTGTTATGGTCAGAATAAACCTACAACTTTAATTTTACTACCTAAATCTACTACTTTATTTAAAATAAAAACTTATCAGAAGAATATGTTAAGTCCAATTTTGAAAACACTTTCGGGTATTAGAATCTGTTAGGTTAGATATTAATTTAGACATAATACTTAACCTCTTGGAAGATACTCGAAGCTTATAGTTTCGGAAAGTGAGTAAGATCATATGAGTTCTTTAATTATGAACTCGAAAGCTATGCACACTGAAAATCCAAAATAACAAATTATCCGAGGTGTTGAGTTTATTTTCTATTCGATTTACAACATTTACTACGTGCTACAAAGTTTCAGTATTCAAACTATAATATCACTAGCTAATTGATTCATTTTTCATTCATATTTGTATTATAAAGCAGTTTAGAGAGGTAACTTGGTTGTAGCTATTAGCCACCTACCTGCAGAAACTGCACCTGCACTGACTGCAGGTCAAAGTCCCCCTGATTAAGCTGACAAGTATCTTAGGGCATTCTTTCTCTTATGTTTCGGTGTGCTTCCAGGAATGTTTTACTTCACTGAAGTAATTTTATCGAGCATTTCATCTCCGTTTTCCTTTCGTTTCCTTCTAAAGCTTTATTCTAGATGCAACTAGTGATATCTAACTTTGAATTTGCTTCAAATTTCGATTACTTATCGTTAAAAATATAAACACACATTAGATAAATATATTTTGGATGTCCTTTCACGCAGATAATATGTATAATCGAACTCATATTATCCTTACCTGAGTATTAGTGAAACCACCATTGGGGTTCAGATTTGAAGTCAAGTATCGGACGTAGGGAAGAGCATCTGAAGCACTTCCGCCAACAGCAAGCGTTGTTAACACGGCATACGCATCTGTTTCAATTTCAATAGCTTTTGTTCCATTCACAATTATGAAAGATTCCATTCCCTCTATTGAAAGACATGAGACAATAAGAAAACTGTTTTTCAAACTTTTTTAAGATTCAAAATAATTAAATGATCCGATTCCTAAGTTAAAATATTCTCAACAATAAGAAAAATCTATGTTTTTTTTTCTGAATTATTTTCAGTAATAAAGAGAATTTATTTTCGCTTCGCAAAATTTTTAACAAAAAAGCAAATCTAAATTTACTTGTAAGAGTTAAATAATATTATTTTGGTGCGTATAAGGATAAGGTTATTTATGTATAATTTATTAAAAATGGATAAATGGATGCGTTGCATAATTGGATGTATCTCTGGATATAGTCATGATAAATATTAGTTAAGTGATTGATTTTTGTAGCAATTAAAATAAGGTCGAAATATGTAAATGTTAAATAATTAAGGGGATGTGGCCGTTAAGGAAAGTGGTTGTACAATACAATTGTGGGATAACAATAACCCAATAGGTTTAAAGGGTCACAAAATGTGAGGTTTGAGCAAATTGGATAAATTTGTATCACCGAATTTAGAATAAGAGTGAAACTAAAAAATAATTAAAGATAAATAAGATAAAGTCATGCTATATCCAAACATAAATATATCATTCAACGCAATTTTTGTGATGTTTCCAAGGAAAGAAAGTAAATGCCCATGACAATAAAAAAGGTACTCACCACATACAGAAGAAAAAAAGGTGATAACTAATAGCTATAAAGGTAAAGCTAAAAAAACAATCACGCAAAACATTCTGTCAACTAAACATTTATTTTTGTAAAACTACTTATTTTGATTATTTCGTAACAAACAAACAATATGATGGCGACACATTTTGTGCCACAGAAAAAATATATCTTTTTAAAAGGATTTATTTAAAGAAACCAAAGGTGTCATGCAAAAAGTTAAATATAAAGGAACGAGTAATTTAACCGTTTAAATAAATATGAGAAGTAAACTTAAATTTGAGAGGGCTTTTAATGTTAAAGAAAATTAAAGGTATAAAATTTTGATTTTAAATTTTACAGAAATTAATCACAGCTATGGATTTAATTTTAAAAAAAGGTTAAGAAAAAATGCAAAAAGAAATCCCGCGATACGGACCGAAGTCCGCATCTCGGAGAATTTAAAAAAAGGTAACCTGCCCGAAGGCTCGAGAAAAAAAAAAGTGTATTTAAAAAAGAGACTTAAAAATTCCATAACTGGTATAGGACCAGAAAAATTACGACCAATTAAATTTAAAGAGGCGGAGAGTTTGAAATTTTAAGGAAAGAGATTGGTTAGTTAGCCCCCTAAAATTAAAAGAAGAAAAAGAAAGGCGTGAATAGAGGGGTTGGTTGACTTTCCCCACAGGAAGTGCGATGACCGCAATGACCATGAGAAAGGTCAACAAGAAAGTAATGAAAGATTGCTAAATTGAAAAAAAAAAAGAATAGCGTTTAAAGAAAAATTAAAGGCTTAAGTAAAATTAGAAATAAAATTGTCACATTACATTAAGTGTATAAGTGACATTACTTTTAAACGTTTTTTATTATTGTAAATCTAATTCATTAGTTTAACCATATTTAACTATGAAGGTAGTTCAATCTATCTTAAATTATTCTATGCACGTAAATGAATCTAATTCTATTCCTGTGTTGCAAAATTTTCAAAAATATACGAATATATGTACTTTTTTTGAAGGATTTTATAAGGTATTGTTTTCTAAAAGAATTTTTAATATTATCAGAATCTAATCTATTAGTTGAAAGAGTTTTTGAACAAAAAAAATTTATCCTTTAAATTATTTTAAGTAAGTCGATGAATCTAATTTCTCAGTTGTAAGATTTATAACAATAGAGGTAATATATTTTCCCTTTTTGACAACTTTTAATAGTTAACAGAATCAATTTATCAGTAAAAAGATATTCTCCTATATTTAAAAATCGAATTTTTAGTTAAATGATTCTAAATAAAGTAAATTTCTGTTCTATATTTGAAAGAATTTAAACTGCAAAGTTAACCTAGTTTCTCGTCTGAACACTTTTATGTAAATGTGAAAATACAATTTATCATCCAAAATATTTCCATCAATTCAAAAATACATTTTTATACACAATTTAAATTAATTTTTTTCTGTGCAATTTCTAATAAATTCTGCATACCTGTCCTGTTGATCTTTTGCCTTGCTTTTTCTATGAGATCTTCTGCATCTTGCTTGTAACCAGCTAATGAATAAGCGTAAGCATATAAGAACTGACTATATGGATTTGTAGGAGGAACATCATTGAGGCAGCTAAAAGCATCGTTCACTACTGTTTTATTGTTGTAATTTGTTATCAATAATGAGGCCAGACAGTAAGCTGTGATGCTACCAGAAGCATTTTCATCTGGAATACCACCCTAAAATAAAATGAGTTTATAATGGGATACCTGCAAGTGACGTAGTCTGAGTAACTCGATCCTGATTGGTTACTGAGTCGTGGCATTTGCTTACGTTATTAACTGCTCTTTCCCTTTTATTTCGATTACGAAAAGCCAGTCAAGTATCAATTCTCTTAAGTGACACATTCTAAATTCCTTCACAAAGATTCTTTCTCAAAGATTTCAATTCTTTTACTATATATTTACACTGAGGCTTAACACAAAGACAGGCACGAAGTCATGTGGAACATAAACAAATTAATTATGCATCGAAGTTCCCAGGTACACAAAACAAATATATATCACTGTTACAATAAAATACATAAACAAATAACAAATCTAGGTTAAGTAAAAGAAGTAGACAAGAAGGAATTATATTTAAACTAATTTGATATGCTATACAGCTCTGTATTTAATCAACTTAAAGTATTATTAAACATTCTAATTTATATGAGGAAACTAAGCTCAACTTTATTACGCCATTTTGCTGATAAAGATTAGCTAGCGCTGACGTCATAAGTCACATGTGTGAGTAAAGGAGTGTCTTCATAATGTGCAAGTTCCCAATTATTTAGAATAGTGTGAAGAAGAAAAAATGCAACATTTTAAACTTTTACTATAATCTAGAAAAGACTGTTAACATTCACATGACGATACACTTTGATGTTGTTGTTGTTGTTGTTAATTTACGTCGCACTAGAGCTGCACAATGGGCTATTGGCGACGGTCTGGGAAACATCCCGGAGGATGATCCGAAGACATGTCATCACAATTTTGATCCTCTGCGGAGGGGATGGCACCTCCGCTTCGGTAGCCCGACGACCTGCGCGCGAAGTCGAGCACTTTACGGTAGCACAGTTTAACGAGGACCAATACCGCATACCCTCGGTCCCCACGCAGACTGATCCAAGTGGTCACCCACCCGCACACTGACCGCAGCCAGTGATGCTTGACTTCGGTGATCTGCTGGGAACCGTGTCTTAACGATCAGTCCACTGCGGGACCGATACACTTTGAAGATGTTCACTTCAGTAATCAGTTACTACTGAGCTCCGCTTAAAAGATTAGAAGACACAAGAAACTTGCACAATTTTTTTTGTTGTTTTGGATCAATTGTATTTTTAAGCATCTTTCAACAATGAATTTTAACTGGGGTACCCAGGCAAATGTTCAAATTCCGAAAGTTTAACTTTGTTTTTATACTTAAGAATCGATTATAAAAACTATGATCAAAGACAAATAGCTTTTATTTTAAATTTTCTTCGAAATTGCATGGATGTTCTTAATATTTAAAATCATATATAATACGTTTGATCAGTTACTTTAAAGCGATAATAAAATAAAAGAGTAATCCTTTTTACTGTAACAAAAGCAGTTTACTTGTAAATCAATATCAATTATCCTTCCAATGTTCGGGAAACAGCCAGTTGTGTCTTGTTTAGATACAATCCATTTCTGCATGTCAGTAATTAGGTTATCATCGATATAGATATATCTTTTCGCTTCGTAGAACGAACGGAGAACAAAGGCTGTTAAGAACATGCTCCCTTCATCATCTGTTGTTCCAAATGCACTGAATGAACCATCGGGATGACGATATGCAAGTTCTCTTTGGTAGCCTAGTTGAGAAATAAGATTAAATTCAGTTCAATTCATTTAAAATATTTCTTACAGTAAAGAAATATTTTTTTATAACCGTCGTTAAACAGCCGACCCAATTTTTGGGTTTATGACTACTAACGTTCAACTATGTAACCTTGTAATTTTGAACCTAATCCAAAAGACAAGAGAACTCCTGGATCAAGTATTGGAAAAAATTTGCCATTGTGGAGGACTTTTTGATGGAACTAACCCGCATTTGCGTTACATGGAGGGGAAGATCGCGAGAACTTCCCACAGTTAGCCTGACGGCAAAGGATTCAAACCCATGATCCATCTACCACTGAGGATATTTCACGTCAGCACTGTGGTCGGTGCAAGCCGGATGAGGAATTTATATCAACGAGCTATTGCTGGGATTCGAACCCGTTTCACCTGATTGGAAGGCGAACGCTCTATTCCCTGAGCCATCGCGGCTCAATAAAGAAATATTGAAAAATAAAATTTCATGCCAACGTAGGTTTTGAAAAGTAATTTTCGAATATACTCCACAACTTTAGTAAGCAAAAATATAGTGAACCCTCGTAGAAAAAATTATCGCAAGTGCATAAGCCGTCTTGGCTAACTGAAAGTTTTTGTAACAGTATTTTTCTGATACTTTATTATTTTACAATCTGAAAGGAATTTTACCCGATAAAAGGAGTTCGAAAGCTTGAGTAAGCGTTTCTCATACCTAATCTCCAGTCTCATCAACATTAAATATGCAATTGATTAGACTGACGTTTTCAAGAATTAATAACTGAAAAATAATGTGTGTTAAAAAATAATTCGCACGGAATATTCATATGAAAATAATTCCCAGAGTTTCTAACTTTCGTTCTAAAAGTTTTCGACAGATGGCACTGAATTATGGTAATTGAAAATGATATAACTTTTTTTAGATCTTTCAATGCATGAAAACTCCGTTACAACAGTTTCGTCCTCATCTGTAATTGCATGTAGTAATGTGACACGTTGCGATGCAACTTTTTATTATTTTTTTTTAACCTACAGGCTTACTAACCATAATGTCAACTCTGAAAAAAAAATTGAACTAAAAGCATGAGCTTTCAGACAAATGGTGTTCCTAGTTTTACAAAAGATGATCGAAGTTTGTGCTACAAGACCTAAGGATGTCTGGCACCAATGGTGCGTTAATCGTAGAACATGGTCAAACGCACCGATTTCTTTGAATAAAGCAGTAGCGCATTTGAGTTGTGCCATGAGATCTGTTAGAGACTCTACGGGTTCCTTAAACACGATGGCTTTGAGAACTATCGTTTTTAAGAAGACATATTAGTGTTAGATGCACAGTATTATTGCCGTTTTGGAATACAACAGCATCATCTATCTGGATTAAATGATAATTTTCCCTTTTATCGCTATATCTTGAAAACAATTTGTATATTTCACGAAAAAGGATCAAATCAATAATTTTCAACTGTTTAAGAATTTTCGATAATTCGCACTAGAAAATAAACGGAATTTCAATTTAGATTCTTCGTTCTAAAATCAAATGATATTTTTTTATTATTGTGTTTTACGTGATGTATTTTTTATCGTTATAAATTTTTTTTTAACTTCTAGCAGCAGCAGGTTGATGTGTACATCATTCGCAGGAGTGTAAGAACACTCTGCCCAGATTCATAAGGTATTAAACAAAAATTTAAAAACATTAAAACATTTAAATACAATAACAATTAGAACAAAGTAACATTAAATAAAATATCAACAATTGAAATATAAACTGAAAATCAATCAGTTAGCAAGCGCCTGTAATTGTTCCCTAGCATTCCAGTATCTGTCATAGATGTTGCGCAGGGCAGACCCTCAGATGCTCAGCATTCATTGGAGAGTTCTCCCCGGACAAGACACAATTTGGATCGGGAAAGATCTTAAGTCTATGGAGGCGAGCAGCAAGGCAGTCGTGTCCGGTTAATAATGTAAACTGCGTCATGCTAAAATAAAAACGAAACCACGGTTGGAAAAGTTTACGGTAAGAATCCGTTTTGATACTAAAATAATCTTCCTCAGTATCCAAGCAAAAAATTTCAACTGTTCATTTTAAGTTGCTGTAAGGATTGTTGTAGTTGCAAGAATTCCCAATTACACTCCAACGGAGCAAAAGACTTGTTTTCTATTGGTCAGCAGATTGATGAAAAAAAAAGCATAAAATCTGGATGAATGAGGGAACGAGAGTTTAACGGAGGATCTTTAGAACAACAGGTAGCGAAAGCTGCTTTTGATGTATCGTGCGCCAAAAAAAGAACCACCCTGAATAACTTTTGATCTAATGATCGGATCTCCAGATTCTAGGACTCAATCTTAATGGCTCGAGGGGGTGATCTCAAATATGCTAATTAAAAAATGCAGAAGATACCTTAAGCTACGAAATCAGACACAGAAACATACTTTCTCTGAATAAACATACTTTTTTTTGACGGATTCTGATTTCAGATCCCCAAAATATATCTATGTCAAGTACTCAAAAGAAAAGCAGTTAGACTGTTCTGATTTAACAGTGATGATGCTTATTTATTGCTTCGGAGACACTTCTAGCCACTGAAAACACACACGTTATTACTACTTGTCAGAGATATTTGGAACTATATGTTATTACCTGCAACTAGATTGCGAATCGCTCTATTTTTAATGTCATCTGTAACTTGCCCGATGTCTGTTAGGTAGTCTAGAACAAGGTAATTCGGAGTGAATTTTACCATGTTCTGTTCTCCACATCCTGTAGGCAGTTGTACTAGATTTTCCAAGTTGTTTATAGCTGGTCCCAAAACGTTACCTATCAAAATATAAAACATAATATTGATAACAAAATGACAAGACATATATGAATTATAGGCAAAAGTTAAAGCAGTGCTGGACATTAATTAAAATTTTAAACTTCGACGCTTAAAAGTAATAACTGAGATTGAATAATTTAAATTTTAATTCATCGCATCAATTAATCTTAAAACGCAATTAAATCTTGAAACGCATTATCATTTTCAGTAAATTGTGTTAAAAAATGAAAAAAGCAATTACTCTTATACTACAAACAAATCAACGGTCAATCAGTTAAGTTAATTTTTCAGATACACTTTCGTAATTAATTTTTAAAAAGTTTTATCTCCACAACTATTAGTCTTTTGGATATTTTGACGACAGTTACACACGAATTCTACGGAACTACACTACAATATTAGGGATTTTAGTACATTTTATTGAACTAATAATTTTTGTTTATTACTCGAATAGTTTTAGCTAGTTCTACTGATATACTAATTTTGGACAGCTACAGTACTATTTTTAGTTAAAATTATGTAACTTCCTATTTTATGAAATTCTACTGAACTTACTAATTTTGCATTTTACAACTCAACTAATTTTAGTGAATTCAACTAATTTTGCACTAATACTCTTCGTAAATAAAGTTGGTATTTCAAGGTAAAGTGATTTTCCCTCACTCCACACTTCCCCTCTCCATTTTCCAAGATTTTTGCAAATTTTGCTTACTCTCCATTCCAGTATATTATTATTCTTACTGAAATTGTACTGGAGTGGGGAAAGATACGATTTTTTGAAACTATGGTAACGGAGAGGAGAAAAGCATGAAGAATGGGGAAATCGCGTTACCTTGAGACGCTTATTCTATTTAAAAAGAGCATAATTCCAGTAAATTCGATGTTTAATTTTCGATTTATTTTAATTTTAAAATTTACACATTCACGCTACTTCAAATGAGTTATAAACAAAAACCAGTTCCACACACGATAAAAAGGATTTATCTTTTAGATTTAAAAATTCATTTAGTCATTATTTCCTCAATCAATAACACAGGTCAGAAAAACGAATAAATATTTGGCTCAAAAGCACTAAAAAAAAACACTTGCCGTTTTAATCACAATTGCATTCTAGTTAGCAAAAAGGAAACCTAATTTTTAAACTGCTAAATGTCATTACTGCGATTTTTCTTGTTTAAATATTGAACGCGAACTATTATTTTTTGACACATTTTGATGCTTTTCCCCAAAAGGATTTTTTGGTGCACTTGATGTAGAGAAAATACAAGAAAGAATGTTTTATAATTAAGAACAAAATGCTGATAGAAATAATATTAATATTTTTTTTGACATTTAAGTCATTCTAAAGGTATATTTACCAGTAATGTCGACATATGCCCTGGTGGAATCTGGTACTACATCTTTTGGCAACTTCAAACTAACACTGGTGCTGAAGGAATTATCTTCATTCTCTGCAAAAACAAAAAAAGAAAGTAATATTTACGTTCTTACTGTTTTGAAATGTATTTGATAATAATAATAATTATTATTATTATCATTTGATAATTGAAAAACTTTCTGTAAAATAACAACTTTTTTAGTTGCAATTGCTCTTTATCTCGAAAACCTCTATATCTGAAAATTTCTAAAATTCTTTACATTTACTATCTGAAATCAATGTATTTTCCATGTCTATTTCGTATTTTTTTTTCTTCAAAAAATCTCTTTCTCGAATTTCTAATAATCGAGCACAAATGCTCAAACAACATAAAAAGCAAAGAAGGTTAAACGTCAAAAATCTTTTAAAATATTATTTTTAAAGTAACCTGTATAACTCGAAACCTTTTTATCTCAAATTTTTCGCGTTTCCCGTGAGATTCGAGATAGACAGGTCCGAGATAATCAGGTCAGTTTTCCATATTTCTGCTAAATACAACCTTAAAAGTATTATACATGGTAGAATTTATTGAAAGATATAGAAACTTCATTTATACTATTACGGACAGATCTAAACGCTTGTATTAATTTTATCTTCCTGATTGCAGAGAAGGGACTTAAAAAAATTAAAAATTGCGATCTAGTTGCGTTAGCATTCTAAATTTTTGATAACGGGTGTTAGACGCTGTAAGATTGCAATCCTAGAAGTCGTTACAATTTCTTTAAGTATTTTCTTTTTTAATTAAAAAACATGAAAAGCATTTTTTTAATTGTTCCTATACTTCTGGTCATCAAAACCTTTCGTGTTTAAATGAAATATTCTAGAATTTGTTTCCTTCTATCTTAAACTGCGTAGATTTTCTTTCTTTTTAATAAAAAAAAAGGTCTTTAATGTTTTTTTATGACGGTTTTATCAAAATAATTTTCAAAACCTATTTACACGTGACTATTTCCCTGATAAGGATAAGGAGCATCTATTTTATTTTACTGTATAGCACAGCTTAAAAACAGCAAGCATCTCTTTCATTTTACTTCATACAAACTTGAAATTTGGAAGAAAAAAAATTAGAACGATCTTTCTATTTCTTATTTTTAACCCCTACGATGAAAGATATTAAATACATGATTATGATTTTTTTCCTACGATTTATGGTGTGCCCAAAATAAAAATAGTTTCTTTTTGCCTAGCAAAGCAAAGGGGATAAGGTTTTCCCCTTATTCTTAGCCCCATCCTTTTTCACTTTTTCATGACGTCATTGAAAAGTCCTCTGCCTTGAAAGTTTCAATCTTGATTGAAATAAAGAAATAAAACATTTGCGTTTTTTTTTTTTTTTTTTTTCTTCCAAATCTTTACTGAAAATGTCTCTTTTGGTGGCATGAAATATAACAAACAAATACAACTTAATGATATCGAAGCTTGAAATTCTTGCAGTGCTCACGAGTTCAAAAACGCATACATTATTTTGAAAATTTATAATTAATTAAATGTCTAATGATCACGCTTTCTTCAACTAGCTGAGCCGCGATGGCTCAGGTGATAAAGCGTTCGCCTTCCAATGAGGTGAACCGCGTTCGAATCCCAGTCATGGCTGATCGATACGAATTCTGCATCCGGCTTGCTCCGACCACAATTCTGACCTGAAATATCCTTAGTGGTAGACGGATCATGGGTTAGAGTCTCCTTGCCGTCAGGCTAACCATGGGAGGATCTCGTGGTCCTCCTCCTCTCCATCTAACGCAAACGCGGGCTAGTTCCATCAAAAAGTCCTCCAGGAAAGCAAGTTTCACCCAATACTTGATCAAGGATTTCTCTTGTCTTCTGGATTGGGTTCAAAATTACAAGGTTACGAAGTTGAACATTAGTAGTCGTAAACCCATAAATTGTGTCGGCTGTTCAACGATGGTTATAAGTACTGAATTTTCTATACTGAATTATATATTCGTACTGAATTTTCACTTTAATATTCCTGAGTCTAAGTTGTTTAGCTTTCTTGTTACCACTTGATGCAATCGGCTATCATCAAAACATATAATTAACATTCACCTTTTCATTTTTTGTACATTGTGCAGTCGTGTGTCTTCTCTTAGGTATTCAAGACTTTTATTTTTATTGTTTCAGTCGTGTGTCATCTCTGTGTAATCATTTTGTTTTATCGCTTTAATTTTTTATTACTCAATCACGGAAACTTTTTTACTCGTTTAGTCGTATGCCTGCTCTCAGCCATTGAAGCAAAGAACCATACTTTTCTTATAATATTAAATAATTCTCTTTACTTAAGTAGATAAACTTTCAAGACATGTAAAATTCAATATTATGTTTGAAAATTATGGTTTATTGAAATAGCGTTTTTTTATTTATTTATTTACTAATTTTTTAATTTTGGTTTAAAGGAGAAGAATTGCTTTTTTTTCTCTTTTTTATCCTGTGTTTTAGATTCTTAGAGAAAAAATAATTTTTACCATTTAGTACAATTTCAATACAACCTCAAAAGGTTAAGCTCCACTTTAAAGCTGTTAAAACTACTAAAGGATTAAAGTATCCGAAATTTATTTACAAAAATTTAGTTTCCTTCAATGCATGAGTAACATAAGTAAATAATAATAAGCCAAAGTAAAATAAAACGAAGTATAAACATAATAAAATAGGTTTGTAATAATAAACCATTTTTTTTTAACCCTAGTATAGAATTTTAATATTTTATTTGCTTAAAAAAGTGTTATTTATTTTAAACGCTATAAATCAAGAACAATAAAAATTGCGATAAATTAATGAATATGTATAAAAATTTGAAAAAAAATTCCTGTTAAAACGACTATTTTCTTTGTTTTAGTCTAGATATTTCAAAAAAAAATATATTTGCCATTACACCAATTTCGCCGCCACCACCCCCGAATGAAACACCTCCAAGCTATCTAGCAAAGTAGAGGTCTACAGTGTAGTCACCAATGTGACAGTGAAACACTGTTACGGGAAAATATTTTCTTTCATCTTTTCCACGATATTCGAGGTATTCCTCGGTATTATTGTTTGTCGTTATTTCGCGATACTATCGTTTGTTCATTTTTCTCGATATTATAGTTAGCTTCAATTCAAATTGCGAAAAGAAGTGAGTTGAAGAGAATAAGAATTATTACATACCCCAGTGATAATCGTGTTTGTTAAACGTAAATATTAAAGCAAAGAGCTTTTTTGTAGAACTTAAAATACTTCTAAACCAAGCATAGCTGAAATTTCTTTTTGCATAAATGTATCAACTCAAATGCAAATGCTCCCGAAGGCAGTAGGGTCAATGAGGAGCTGTAAAGTGATGAATTCTTGTAATCAAATATAAAGAGGAAGTTGCGACGAGTTCCATGCACGATTTTTACCCCTTCCCTTTAATTTGCTTCAAAAATACCAATGCCATAGATTCACAGCATTGCTGCAGAATGCAGCAGAACCAATGTACAATCACGATGCGGTGACTTCGTGAAGCCGGAAGACAATGTGGAACAGCGAAGCTGTGTGTCACTGTAGGTGAACCAGCTGCGTATCTCAGACGGCTGGTTTTATATAAATTTGTTACATAATTAGCTAAATGCATTTTTTTCTTGCTTTTTGTAAGGAACATGAAAACATACCTGATGGGCAGAAGAGTGTGTTAATAACATTTTCATTCGGGAAACCTTCTGGCTGCAAACAATAAAGATTATTACATAAGCACATTTATTGTTATTAATTTTCATTTATTGTTCATTTTTTTACTCTATACGCTATTGTATTATTGTGCATCCAACCGAAAGTTTTCGTATAGAAAAATTTTTATGTTGAAATGAGTCATATATTTTGTAAGTTTCACTATCAAACCAAAAGCGTCCGGACAACCAGTGTTGCGGACTTTTAGAGTCCTGGAGTTTATATTAATATGATGTTGGCCATCTTCTCTTGCATGGATGACAGCCTGGGGAGGCTTTCCACTGGTTTTTCACGTGTGTTCATAAAGTATCGACTTCTAGGCGTCCATCATAGCTGAAGTGACTGCTGGTAGTGAAGATGGTCGATTTTTACAGCTACGAAATCTGCTATCTAATTCACTCCAAAGAGGCTCAATGGGTTTGAATTTCGGACTCTGAGAAAGTTCGTCTAGTTTTTGAACATCAATCATGTTAAACAATGGCTACGCATGTGTCTCTTTGTAAGTAGAGCAGTTATCTTGCTGTAAAAGAAATAGAATTTCCCCGGAACCCTGCTATAAAGCAACATCGTCCAGAATGTCCACATACATTCTTGTTTCCAACTTCAGAAACTAAAGGACTCTGGTCAAACTGCGAAAAGCACCATGATACTTTTGGTAGGTATACGTATACTTTTGGTCCAATAAGTGAAATTTCAAATATCGCATATTTAAACGAATTAATTTACACAATAAAATTTACCATATTGTTGAGAACTTAACTATTATAATACGTATAAATATGTTCTTGCGATCTTACTTAATCTCGTATTTGTTTGCTAATGATAATATATATAAACTAAGGTGTCCACCTTCTACTCTACAACTATCGAAACTATTTCCGCATTAAAGTGTTTCGCAATCCCAGCTTGATTCATTTTCTCATTGGATAAAGTATTTTAGGTAAGCTTTGTCGGAAAGAAGATGCACTTATTAAAATGAAATGAAAATTTTGATTTACATGTATTTCGGTCTAATAAAAACCTAATGCCACAGTATGTTAGCTGCTGGCAGTGCCTATTACCCCAAAACTAGCAGTACCTATTACCATAAATGGGAATTAAACTATTATTGTTGTTATAAATCGAGCATGCTATAGCGAGCCTCACGCTATTTTTGTTTATCATGTAGAGTTGCACTTTCGTAATCTGGCAACTTCTATCTCTTGTATATTCCGAGTTTATTTTTTTTCTAATCGTTCTTTTCCTTTTTTGTTTCTAAATTCTTATTAAATACTAATTTAAAATAGCTGTCACCTTTATTTTGCTAATATTTACAACAATTGTGAATTAAACAAACTATTATTGTTACTGGCGTCAATAATCATGGTCCTCTTCAGACATCATGGCATTAACGTGATTATTTTTTGACGTTCCGGGTTTGTTTGTATATGCTTCCGAACAACCTGTTGTTCTAAATTTAAATTTTGTGTCTTTTTTTTGTGCAAAAAAATGTGTTCTTCATATTTTAAAATATCAGATGAAGATATGAAAAAAAACTACTTTGGGAAATTGTACTAAGTAGATATACAATCACTTGATCATTGAGATGCGAATTTACGCTATTTAGTTTACACCAGCAGATATTTTACTACCGGAAATTAAGCTTTTGTAAAGGGTTTCTATAAAAATAATTATAAATCGATAGCCATCAAAATAAACAATTAAATTAGGAACTAAAAAGCAAAACTAATAGAGAAACAGTGGAGATTTGCTACAAAAGAATGTAAAAAATTGAAAAACTATCATTGAGGAAAATGATGCTTAACTAATTTTTATAATTAAAACTGCTGAAGTTGATAAAATAGGAAAAGAAAATGTTGTTTTCTTTATCTTGCTTATGACAGCTCACTCGTTTGATATTTCAGTTTTCATTCCTTTGTGACCAACGCGGAAAAAAAAATCCACTGCTTTGGAGGCAATATACATAAACATTGGAGTTTTATAAATGTAGATATTAGAATAAGTTTTTGTGATATTACGTTAACTTTTATCTGTTTTTATAATGGCAAAATTAATAAATATTACAACATGTTTTCATGATCTTACCTTAACTTCGATTGGTTTCCTTATGGCATCTCTGGCATAATCATTCGATGTCGGGGAGCTTCCACAAACGTCACTTGATTCCGCTGACACTGCGCTGACAGTGATTTGAACTTTACCTACTTTCGTTGCTGTTAATGTGACAGGCAAAGTAACACTGGATTGAGGGTGAACACAAATGTCTCCATCTATGGAATTGTCGGTAACTTTAAAGCCTTGTGGATCTTCAAGAGTTACTGTTACCTAAAAACCGAATTATATTATACAGTTTTCCTGGCATAACAATCACACATGTAGTTGTGATTTCAACTTGAAACGTTAATTTAAAAAAAACATTTTAGAAACATACATTAAAACATATTTGTGTTGACTATTAAAATAAATAATTTTTGTAAAGTAATAAGCAAAGATACATTAAAATAGAAAAAAGATTCCCATCTTAATGCTATTTGAATATTTTTGGTATTTTAATAATAATTTATTGAGATATCTTTTTCAAGACGAATAATGCTGATAAGAGAATCCCATTAATCAAGTGTCCTTTTAAAAAATGATGTTTTATTATTAATGAAATATTTTATGAGTAAGGTGTCTTAAGGACTTGAAGATATCTGTATGATAGTTAATCATAATGACATATTAAAAATATAAAATCAATAGCAGTTTTAATTTTAAAACAAATTCGATATTATTTTTAATTTAGGCGTATATGTTAATTTCCGGTAACTGTAAGAGGTATTTATGGGTAATTCAACAACCGCGTAATAAAATAATTCATTTCGTACTTTAACAGACCGTGGTAAAGTGGATATAGGTATCTCATGATTGTGTTACTTGAATGTTGTGCAAAATTATGATAATTTTTATTTTATAACCGTCGTTGAACAGCCGATCCAATTTTTTGAGTTTACAACTGCCAATGTTCAACTCCGTAGCCTTGTAATTTTGCACCCAGTCCAGAAAACAAGGAGATCAAGTATTGGGGGAAATTTGTCGTCGTGGGGGACTTTTTGATAAAACGTACATGCATTTGCTTTACATGGAGAAGGAAACCACGAAAACCTCCCACGGTAAGCCTGATGGCATGGCGTCTCTAACCTATGACGCGTCTACCAATGAGAAAATTTTACGTCAGCACTGTGGTCGGTGCAAGCCAGATGCAGAATTCATATCGACCAGTTATCACTAGAATTTGAATTCGGAACAATGATATAGTGATGATAATTTTAATTATGATAATATCGTACAGATATACAAGGCAGCTCCACATCCTGTGAGCTATATAGTGGACCACGCTCCTTTCTCTCGCTACTAAACTAAATCCATTTGAAATGTTTTCAATCGCAAAATATTAAGAATTTAAATCACTTTTTAAAATCTTAAAAACGCATTTATCATTAAAGAATTACAATTATTGAAATAAATATTTTTTTAACAGAAATTAATGACATTCAATAGAAAAACTTGTAGAAACAAAACAATAATTTTGCTTTTAAAAAACAGCATGTATAATGGCGCGTCTCTTATATATTCTTTCAATGTTACGACTTTCGTAAGTGCCATCAATGATTTCTTCTGCTCTTGGAGCACGTTTTCTTTACTATCCTTAAAAAGCGTAATAGTACGATTAATACTTATTTTTCGATAAGCAACAAGAGCAATAAATAAAACTACCATTATTGAACCAGCACAAGTATAATTGTGACATAGTGCCAAACGCTTATTTTGTTGAAAGGAAATATTCACTTTTTACCTTTCATTTCTTCCCAAGTTATAACTCAAGTTTGTTTCAGCTTTTCGTCTTGAAAGCGAAAAAAGAATTTTTATTAAAAACCTTTGCTAACATGTACTTTTAGGATTTCCTGCTTACGACAGTGTACACGTTTGATATTTTTTGTTGACAATACAAAAATGAACTCAGATGCAGACTTTCTTTGTCACCATTGTAATATATATATATACATAAAAAATATAACATATATAAAATATAAT